AACTTACGTGGTCTACATTATGCTTTTTAAGATCACGGTGGCCAGGCCATTGGACCATCTCGACCTATCCATCCTCCAGGAAACACATGATCTAGATGTCGCCGATTATATCGGATATCTAGGAAACTAAAAAACTTTTACTACAATTTTTTTCATCTATTAGTCATTATTTGTCATGAGGAATAAATCCTCAAGTTTATGCGTATAAGGTGAGAATCACCGCCGATGTTGTCTAAACATCAGCTGGGTCTAAACAAGTAAACAAAATTGTTGTTGAATTCATTCGTGAATATAACAAAATTTTCGTATTTGAAGCAAGATATTTTTGGTTGGGTTTTCATATTATACTGAAATGCTGTGTCACATACACCAGTTTCAATCAAAAGCAAACTTATTGGTGTGAAGATGAAGATTGTTGCGTTGTAATACTTTTCTATCAGTAGATATTTAGAAATAAATATCTTCAGATAAGGTATACGAGATAAATCCGAGTTTAAACTAGAATCAGTTAAACCTACTAATAAAACTAATGAAACAACAATATCCCAAAATTTAAAGTTTTTTTCAAAAAATATAAGTATTTACGAGCAAATGGTTCGGTACTCGATCATCATTTATTCAAGCAGTCCATTAGGGGTAAGCCGATTCGCTTTGGATTCAAACAGTAAACAATATGCTGTGCAGAAAGGGAATACTAGTTCTATACGAGAAAACGAAATGATGACTACCAATTACAAAGCCTGAGTGCTACTTTTGCAATAAAAAGAATATGCGGTTCTTGAAAAGCCTTCAAATCTTCGAAACATTTCTATAAAATCAAACTTCAAATTCCAGAAGAAACGTCCGTTCTGTTTAGATTAGTGATTTGATACAAATAATGAAATATTTTGTGTCGGAGACTCGGAGAAAAAACTAAGTAAAATCAATCACCGTATTGCATACAAAACTATAAATACAAATATAACAATAAATATACGATAACAATTTGCGGAAGAAAGTGATATTTTCTTATTTTCGCAAACATAATCGACACAACATAAGCAAATGTCTAGGTACTATGTCACCATACAAATAAAAAGAGAAATCTAAATCAGCGTTTCGCAACCTTTTCTTTGTTATCCTTCGGCTATCATCACTGCTGCATGCACTTCACTTTCACCATACATAATTATCGTTATACAGTCTGTCCGTAAAGTCATGAAGAGCACCGTCATGTTGAAAGATGATACTTTCTGGATATTGTAGCACTGTGTACGATACCGACCTGTTAAAATATTTGTTTGACGTCACAATCCGTTATCATTTATCAATAACGTCACACGTTCATCTTAAGAGTGTTATGAACGTTGGAGCAACACTCAGATGGAAAATACAGTCTCAGGTCCATGTTCTGTGCAACATCTATTCTGGTACTTATTTTGTAAGTAAGAATAGCTTCACCAACACGGTGCTAGTGACCGGTAATAGAATAGTGATTGCCTTGTTGAACAGTTCTAATAAAGATTGGAAAATTCAGGTTAATTTTTCTCAATACATAACTTCCAAAATTCTAGTTTTTAACTAAACACTCGGTTTTGTCGCTTACATGGAATATAGTTACTGCATTATTCTAAAGGGGATACATTTAGCTAGTTTAATTTCGGAAAGATATCGGACATGTCAAAGAATCTCATGGGTGGATAATGTAACTAATAATAATGGAGCGAACGGGGTAGGATTTGAAAGTGTTAAACACCACCAAGAGAAGAAAACCATACAGTCATCTTGGACATATTATGAGAAATAGATACAAATACCTCCTGAGATCCGTCCTCCAAGGGAAAGTGTATGATAGAAGATGACCGGGAAGAACTAAAATATCAAGGCTTAAAAACATAAGGACATGGTTCTCAAAAACTACCACTGAATTATTCAGAGCATATCCAAGATAACGCCAATATTCTATACTTATAGACAATCGAAGATGAAAACGTTTGCAAAAGGCGACTAAGTAGTGAAGACTTCATACTACCATTGCACAGTACTTCTTCGCAAAGAACACATTCAAGTCTAATGACGTTCTCAATAATTACCAATGGAAATCCATACTACAAGTATTCATCGCAATATTTTTTCACTTCTTCCGGTTACAAAACTGGAACTGGAAGGTTCGTTTCGTACTTTGATAGCAAATTAGGAATAGTTCGGGGAATTCCCTCATTAACAGAGAGACGTATTATATCTGTGGCGGCACCACAGCCAACCATAACTTTAAAATTATAACTATGTAAATAGCATCTAGGTAAATATTATATTAATGCAAACAGTTGTTTTAAAAAACGTTTGGAAAAAACAGTTTTCCAACACATAATCATATTATTCAAAAACCTTCTATAAATTGGTGACCCCGACAAACACAAACCTTCGTGCAAATTATTTCCAATTATTTACTGATGTCTGCATGTCTGAATCTATGAGAAGTAGAGGGCCACATCAACGACTTACAAATATAGCAGCAAAGAAAACCACCACCACTACTAGAAGTGTCCAGAAATCACAGTATACAAACTGTTGGTGAGTGGTCACGATATTTTTTCTCTCATAGAATAGTTAGAGCCGAAGGTATCGTTTCAAAATTCGATATTTTTCAAACTTAATATCTTTCCCACGTTCATCTATTTAAAATGCAACAAGATGATCAATATAATGACAACAACTCAATAGACAATATTTCACATGTAAAATTATCTCCTTTTTGGGTCAACAAACCAGAAATATGGTCCGCTCAAGTCGAGGCACAATTCACCATTTCGAGAATATTTAATGATAAATCAAAATATAATCTAGTTATTGTAAATTCACCAATCGATGTAATTTTCCAAATCTATGATCTACTTCTAAGTGAAGAAAGGCGCTTAGATGATCTATTGTCAGGTTCTGAGATGGGTCTGAGAGAACCGTCTGAATTTTTTAGAAGTATGTTAACTACCGCCGGTTCACAAGTAGTAAGTCGAGATTTGCTCGACTTACTACGACTTACTATCAAACTCTGGAAACGTAGATTGTCGATCACTATTTCCATTGCCCTTCTGGCATCTGGAAAGGATGATATTGCTGATTTATTAAATATTGCAGATAAAATTTCGGATTCTATGAACAGCTCATGTACTCATACATATGGACTCGCAGGTGTAAATCATTTACCAAATAATTCACCCAACACTAATAATTCTGATATTTTGAAAGCATTTTCAGATGTCACTTTGATATGTCAGTCAATTCATAATAACTTCACTCAAAAACAAGTGTCAATAGAAAGTCAGATCAATTCGTTACAAAAACAATTCAATAATTTTAATTCTTCGCACTGGTGTTCTCATTGCACTTATCGTCATAACACTTCACATTCCGGTTCACGTCATCCTTCACACTTACGTGGACGCTCTTCTCCAATGTGTTCATATCATGCACGGTTTGATAATAAAGCTTTTAATTGTGAAGGATCATGGTTGGTGCAAGTTTTATAATTCTGTCAATAATCGATCAAAATCACCTTTTAAATCCGAATCAAAAAACGAGTAAATGTTTCAATGGATAATCATTTAGGATATAATAATAAAAAGAAATCAAATACCAATAAGTTCATATCTTTTTATTTTTGATAATCAAGATCACTTACATGTCTTAATAGACACAGGAGCTGACATTTCCGTTATACTTCGCAAATTTTTTCCTAATCAACGAAAAGATAGAGAATCTTCTTTTTCAATTGCAAATGGTTCTCCAATGTTAACGATATCGTTAAATTTACGACGAAATATTCCATTCATTTTTACCATAGCTGATGTTAAAAACCTATTATTGGATCTGATTTCCTTGAAAAATTTGCAATATTGATAGATATCAAAAATCGCCGATTAATCGATACTACAACTAAACTAGTCTCTTCTGTGATTAAATTATCCATTAGCAAGCTTTGTTTAAGTCAATTTAAATAAAACAAAATTTTCCTCTTTCTTGCTATTTATTTTAATATGCTTCTAAATCGATTTCGAGGAAACAATCCTCATCTTCAGTAGAATCTTATATTTATAAAAATTTTTTTTAAAAACAATATGAAATAAATCCAAAATTTCTATAAATTTACTTACTGTCAGTTTAGTTGAAAAAATATATTAATCATCAAATTTAACACATCCTCCAAAGTTAACTTCATCTTTTTTATCCAAACTTGAAAATTTCTTACTTTAATAATTGAACAAATATAATAGAATATCAAATTCAAAACCAAAAGTTAAAATACACTTAAAACAAAATCCAAAATAATATAAAACAAAACACGCGTTTACATTTGACAAAAGATACGAAAAATGACTGAAGGTCAAAAGGAACAAGCAAGAAGGAAACTGGTATTCATCCTGAATAACACTGTTTATATTTAAATTTAAAATCTTTTAATAAAGTGAAAATAGGTTCAGTATTAATTTGTATTTGATCGTTTAATAAATTATAATTTTGATTTTTTTTTTTAATTTTGATTATGTTTATACTTTAAAATTTCCAAAATTTCAAGCAAATCCAATCTTTGACCTTTATTACATTTGTGTATTAATTTAGTTTCTTTGTATTTAATTTTATGTCCCGTTTCCATTTTATGTTTATAAACATTAGAATTATTTTTTCGAGGATTGTTTCCTCGAAATCGATTTAGAAGCATATTAAAATAAATAGCAAGAAAGAGGAAAATTTTGTTTTATTTAAATTGACTTAGTCTCTTCTGGTTCTTTAATTAAAGCCATCTCCTAAATTGTTTTCTATTAAAACTAAATATTCACGTCTTTTAAAAAAGTATCCAAACCTAATTTCGACTCCAGATTTTTCAGTACTTGTCAACCATAGTATTCGACATCATATAACAAATTCTCATTTGCCATTTTGTAGACCAAGACGATTGGATGCTACAAAATTCGCAATTACAAAGAAAGAATACGATAAAATGATCTCTCTTGGAATTTGCCGTCCTTCATCTTCTTCTGCTGCCTCTCCAAAAAGACTGTGAAGATTGGCGTCCTTGCGGTGATTATCGCCAGTTAAATTTAATAACTGTTCCGGATATCCGCTGCCACACATACAAGGTTTTAAGTTAAATATTCACGGATGTAAAATGTTTGCAAAAGTTGATTTAGTTCGAGCTTACCACCAAATTCCTGTAGCAGAAGAAGATATTCTTAAGACTGCTATCACAACCCCATTCGGTCTCTGCGAGTTCACTAGAATGCCTTTTGGTTTGGTCTCAGAAATACGGCAACTTTGTTGTTTTAAAAAACATTAAAAAAAGAATTTTCCAACACAATCATATTATTCAAAAACCTACCATAATATAATTACATCACTTGGTATATTGATTATTAGAAGGCAGTGCGAGTAGTTTCTCAAATTATAACAGGACATTAGTATTTTAGAGTAGGCTGTTTGTTAATATTATTTGTAAATATTCTAAAATCCATTTATCACTAGGTAAACATCTATTGATAATATAAAACTGTAGAACAATATACGTACTATATCCACTCCGAAATGTTGTATGTACTATATAAAATATTAATTATCGTGCAAATATATTTATAGCACGGTTGGGAACACTAGGAAACTTCACTCAAACATCCGGGACAGAAGTGATGAGTCGGTCTACCACACAAAACAAACATTTAATTCGTACTTATATATTACAAAGACGAAACCGTAACTGCGACTATACTGTGTCGTCACATTTCACTCTCTGTTTATTATTATATTATTTACTTACACAGCGAAATCTCCTTGGAGCTCGCTCGGAGGAGTAATACTCTAACGTCATTCAAATGTAACCAAATCCCACAGCCAGATTCTTCGCAGAACTAAAATTATGTTACAGAAAACAATTAATTACTCTGACTTTTGTTAATAAATTATATTTGGATTGGAAGTGTCAGTTGTTTTAACAGTTTTTTTTATTTTTTCTCTTTATGTTGTGTGTATCTTTTTTTCCGCATCACTCTGAGACTATATTATGTACTCTCACGTACCATATCTTAGAAAACATAATATATTAACAAAAATGTTAAGCAATTTACAAAAATGTGTACAAAAACGATCAAATGAATCTACGAATAAATTGCCCCAATTAATATGTGCAAACCAAACGAAGACGAGTCATTAAAATTGAAAAACTAGTTAGACAAATTTGTGTTGAAACTTCGGCCTCAAAAACAGAAAATAAAGAATGTTATAATTTTTAATGAGAAATTCAGATTTAGCCTTCAAATGCGATTCTTGCAATATTTCGAGGTGAAATAAAAATTTCAATATATTCTGCACATAACGACGAATGTCATCGTTTCTATTACAACATAATTTTGTTATTAAGAACAAGAAAAGTGCAACTACAAGAACAGCTGCAATCACACATTTAACATCAAGTCAAACACTCCATAAGTGCACAATTTACGTTGATTTTCAGTCTCAGACAACTTTAATTTTAAACCATTAGGAAGGATAATTAGAAGGTAATTATATACCTTAATGCAAAAGTGAATAGTACTTTTTGCACCTCGTTTTTGATGGTTGTTAGCAGAAATTTCTAATCTAAATGTTTCATAACACTGTTTCTAGTATTTTGTTCTAGTGTTGTGTATTAGGATTTCATAACAGTTAAAAACAGCTTTACATTCTTCTTGGTTTGAAGACAATAAAATGTCTCACGTCTTCTCTTAAGCTGTGAAAGTATTATTTTCGTTCACTTAACGAAGTTGTAAGGAATATAAGCGTAAAGCACTTTTAGCTAACCGCACTCTGGCCGGTACTCTACCTTAACTTCTAGGAACACAACTTCTTATTTGCCTACAAGTTTTGTACTATTAAAAATTGTGTATCCATTTTTTTTTGCTCCATTCCCAAACATCGTAATACATGTTTTTTCTATGTTAAGCTGGTTAAACTCAATTACTATTGTTCCTTGCGGGATTCGTTATAGAACTCGTATCAAGTTCTGGATTATTTCGTTGCCAGCTCCACCATAGATGATATCATTCTGTTTTCTGTTTAACCCTACAAATCCGGATAGTTTCTAAAGAGAAATTTATGACATTGCTTATTTAGGAATATTACCAACACAGACATTCAGGACAAAAGCTGAAACTTCATTATAACCAACTACATTCGTATTATTTATGGACATTGTAATCGATTTCACTTTATCTATCTCATCCATACTTAAAACTACACCATTCAATTTATTGAGTTATGGTCTATAAAAGCCAACCAAATCCACGACAATGCAAACCAAATTAGAAGATTATTGGTGTAATTAAGTTATTACAAAATGATGAGGAATCCTAGTGAGCAGCTTCTTGAATATAAATTTCGTAGCCGTAGTTTCGTTCCATATGAAAACAACTGGTATACACTCAACTTTACAGTAAAACGGTTTTTAAACTATCATCATATCTTAATTACATTTTGAGGTTTAACTCTTTCAAATTTGGTATTTGTAACCCAAATCTGTAAAAAAAGTAATATCGAAATTTCTAGAAATAAAGAAATGATTTTAACTCATCAAGTACTAATTAAAGATGTCTTAAAAGGATTTCTATTTCATGATGATATCTCAATTCTTTCTTAAGCTCCATGTGGAAAATAAAGTAAATTTACTACAGTAACTGTTTTTTAATGACATGATCTTTTCAAATTTAAGTTCTCATAAATAACCTTACCAGGAATGCCTGTTTAGTGTAGTAATTTTGACATCTTTGATGCTTCTAATTTCTATACTGCCAAATTTATCTTAACATTTATGGGACTATTTGAGTTATATTTGAATATATAATGCTAAACGTATTTGGCACGCTAAGGATTCAGTCAAAATCTTCTCCCGATATTAATGAAAACTTAATCTAATTGTTTATATTTTATTGTGTGGTAAGATTTTTTGTTATCTTTTAATGTTTATGTTTTTTATTTTGGAGATAAAATTTCGCTACAACATGTCAAGGTTAAATAATTTTTATTATAAACTCTGATCAATTAAAAATCAGTTTGAATTTAGCTTTTGCTCATTGTCTCTTTGAAGTTTCAACGAAAATGTTCTTGATTCTTTTTGTGATTTTAATTTCTATTATTATACTTTATTATATTTATCAAGTGAATAAATACAAAATAATTGATGATTACCCGGGACCATCGGCATTAGAATTATACAAATTTATGTTATTACCTAAAACAACAGTAGGCAAGTTTCAAATTTTATAATTTATTATTTTTTTTTGAATATATTTGTTTAAGATTCTTATAAATACTTCGTGTCTTTAAACAAAAAATATGGTGCAGTAGTTAAAATTTGGCTGAAGCCTTTTAAACCAACTCTTCTTGTATCTGATGGAAAATTTATGAAGAGCATTTTATTATCGAAAGAACATCTTAATAAACCAAGTCATTTCGCATTGTTGGGAGCGTTCATGGGATATGGATTACCCATTATGACTGATAGTAATTAATTCGTACATTAGATTTATTTAAATTTCTAAATAACATCGCTAAAATCTTGGAGGTTTAAAAAATTCAAGAAGTCCTAAAATTAATAATCGATGTTATTTAGACACTACAAAAAAAACATTTTTGTTTCGAAATAGAAATCCAAATATATCTGTTTTTAGTAAATTTGTGGAGACAAGAACGAAAAACATTTTCCCATGTTTTTAACAACCAATTCATCATCGATTATACATCAACATTTAAAAGACATGCCATTAATTTGTATGAATTTATAAATGAAAACTTAAACCAACCTATTGATTTACAAATGTTGTTATTAAGACATGGATTGAACATTGTTTATGGTAAAATATAATTAATACCAAGAATCTTACGTCATTACAAATAGGCTAATTTACTTTTCTAGATTTATTACTTAATGAAGATATAAGTAAACAAGAAAATCGTGTAAATCGTTACACCAAATCTATGAAGGCATTTTTCGAAGTTTATCTCGATAGAATTAATTCTCCTTTGAAGATAAATGATACAATTTTTAAATTAACCGAAAATTATAAGACTTGGATTAAATCTTCTGATGAAGCCAGAGAGTTTGTAGAAAGTACATTAAAGAAAGTTATCAAATTAAAAAAGGAATCACCAAATACAAGTGATCGAAAAGATTTTGTCGATTTACTTTTAGAATCTAATTTGAGTTATGAAAGAATTTTAGCTCAGATTCGTACACTCGTCGTTGCTGTAATTGTTTACTATTACTTTGTTACGTTAGTTTAATATTTGTTTTAAGGGTGCTGAATCTGTTTCATCCGCAACTGGATTTGCTCTTTATAGACTTGCTAAACACCCTGAATTACAGGAAAAAATTTATCAGGAGTACATTTCTATTTTGGGTATGGATAAAAATGTTTTTGCAGAATTTAGAGATATCCAACAAATGACGTTTACTGAATGTGTTGTAAAGGAAAGTTTAAGACTTTTTCCTTCCGGTCCTTTTATTTTTAGAACTTTAATTAAACCAACAGAAATTGGTAAACTAATTTGATAATTAATTAATAAAAACTATTTTTATTAATTATTTTTAGATGGTAAACTTTTTCCTGGCAATATCGACATAATATTTTCAATAATTGATTCGCACTATTCAAATTTCGATAATCCTGCAGAATTTAAACCGGAAAGATTTTTTCCAGAAAATATCTTGAACATTCCTGCTAACGCCTATTTACCATTTTCATTAGGGCCAAGGGATTGTATAGGTGAAAAAATCCAATATTTATCAAATAATTATTAATAATTTTATATTAATGTTTTTAGGTAAAACCGTTGCAATTGTTGAAATGAAATTTTTTCTCAGCTACATCATTAGACAATTCAAGTTACATCCAATCAGTAATCATGAAGCAAACTTATCTGGAGTTATTTTAACAAGCAAAAATGGTTTACCTGTTATTTTTAAAAAAAGAATGCATTAATGCAGGAATTTTATCAACAATACATATAAAATAAATATTTTCTTACATATTTGCCTGCAAAAAACACAAATGAGGCAAGATGAGCAAAAGTGGACCAAGTTCTCACGCCTGTCTTTAGAGTAATGACAGGATTAAATGTTTTATTTAGTCCACATTTGCTCTCTTTGCATAATATCATGGTCTGTATAACCACCTACATAACTACGAATTATAGGGTTAGGGTTATGGTACATTCTACTATACCTTATAAATATTATAACAACATTATCGCAGGAGGAGTGTGCGAGAGAATAAGTGTAAGAACATTAGAGGAATAGAAAGCGCCCTAAAGTTTAGTCGTTATTTAATCAGTCCAAGATTTGAGCATTGTATGAAACAGATATTTACCTAAATTTACTACCAGGTTTAGCACGCAAGTCGTTTCTATCTGTATTCTATAAGAACGGCCCGTTATGTAACATCCTGCACAAATTTGTGTGTAA